GCGTGCTCGGACTGTAAATAAACGAAGACCTTCAAAAAGAAAAAAAATACAGTACGTGACCTTCAACGATTCCACCAACAATTGACGTAATCAAAGCTGTTAACAAATCGTGAATGTATTTCTCTGCTACTTTTCTGTTATCACAAATTTCATTTGCACAGGATGTTGTTGTCAGCTATCACCATTGATGGCAGCTGTAGCAATGCCATCGCAATCATTAACGCAATCACGAAGATTGTTCACATTTTTACACATTTCATGGAGTCATTCCATCCAAGTACATGTGTAATAAAATACAACAAAAACAAAACAGTATTGTTTGCTCCATATCAAACCGCATTCTATCTTCGAAAGAATTGTAAAAAGAATGGGGGCGGACAATCGAGATAAGGCGGTAGTATAAATAAAAGTATATAAATGTACATATGTATGTATGTATGTATGTATGTACATTAGGGTGGTGCAAAAATGCAAGTGAAAAATAAAGCCCGAATTTTAATGCTCTCACCCCCTAGGATTAGGTTCTATATAAGAAAAAATAAACCCCTGTTTTTTGTTTTGAAATCAAAAAATATTTAGAGGTCCCTCAAAGCGCTCAAAGTTTTCCATCTATTATTTATGGGGAAAAACAGTGTTTCGTAGAAATGGTATAGAATTCGTGAAAATCAATATTTTTCGAGCGGAAAACTTTATTTCTCTTCAGGAGATCTCCAATTGTTTATTTTACCATTTTCTAATACTAACGCCTTTAAAGGGGTCCGCCAATGAATTTATTGGGGTTTTAGGGGATTTAAAAAAATAATGAATATTAAAAAATGGTCAAATGAACAATTGGATATTATTATTGGAAGTCTTCTGAAGAGATACAAAGTTTTCCGATCGAAAAATATTGATTTTCGAGGATTCTATACCATTTCTAAATATTTTTTGATTTCAAAATAAAAAAAACAGGCGTTTATTTTTTCTTATATAGAACAATTCTAGGGGGTGAGGGCATTAAAATTTCGACTTTACTTATTTTGGACGCCGTAATGTACATACTTACGAACATATGAGGCCATGCGAGCCAGAGAAGCCTATCTACACATTTTTTTTAGTAATATGAGAAAGAATGATCTATAAATAATAAATACGGTATTTTTCTGAAAGTTCATTGCACCTACATACGTGATGCTACCTATTATAGTGAAAGAAAACTGAAAGGGCGTGCCTCGGGCAATTACCGTTTCGATTCTATGTAGTAATGCATTTTAAGCTGTACCTTAATTTTTTGAAAATGTCCCATAGGCTACTTTGGCTCTCAGTGCCTCATGTGTATGTTCATAGTATATGAAAATGTAGTTACGTGAGTGCTATTAGAATTGCGTAGAAAGACGGTAAACAATGTGAAAGTGATATTATTTACCACCACCCCCTACCGCTGGTTTTTTACGAATAGTGTACAAATTTTACATTAGAGTGCCCCACGCTTCGCGCAAAGTAAAATCGATTCCTTCCCAAACAAAATATAAAATTTGTTCGATTTAAGTAATTCTTTCCGCCAAAATAATTTTACTTTGGACCCCTGGAAAATACCAAAAATCGTATTTTATTCTATTTTTATTTGTTATACCCGAGCGCACTTGTTTGTGTACAGGGTATTAAAACTTTGTTCGCGTAACGGTTGTTTGTAACCGCCTAAAGGAATCGAGATAGATATAGATAAATGTATACATAAATGATCAGAATGAAAAGAGAAATCGATTAAACGGTGTCTGTCTGTCCGTGTACACGATAAATCGAGCCAAATTTGCGATATCTCAACGAAATTTGGTATATAGGTTGTCCTTTAGCCAAGGTAGGTTACTATTGAAAATGGGCGAAATCGGACTGTAACCACGGCCCCTTCTCATATAAAGGTATTTTCGAAAAATGCAAAAACTATAATATTTCAGTAAATATTTTATCCAAATTGTTGAAAATTAGTATGTAAAGTAGAATTTTGGTACAAAATAATATTAATATGAAATTTTTCGGAAAGGAGCGTGATCCCGCCCACCTAATGATGAAATACTGTATCTTAGTAGCCGCTTCACCATTTCTTACCAAACTCGGTACAAGCCTTGCTTAGGATCCAGCTAAGAAATTTGCAGAAAATAATTGAAATCGGGCAACAGCCACGCCCCCCTCCCATATAACGGTAATATACAGAAACACGAAATCTGCGATAAATCAGTAACTACTTACTGGAGCTAATTGACTCAAAATCGATTATTGCAATGAGCAGTGAGCAAAAAATTAGACTTATATAAATTTTTGGATTCTGAGCGTGGCGCCGCCCACTTGTGACCACAAATGTTTATCTCGGTAACCGATTTATCAATTTTTACCAAACTTGGTGCATTTAATAACCTTGATACGAAAAAGCAATTCGTTGAAAATTATTCAAATCGGCCTGAAATTGCACCGGTTTCCCGTATAAAGGTAATTTTCGGATATACGAAAACTCCTATATTTCAATAACTGAGGTCGTTAATTTACTCCAAGTTAATACTTACAACAATCTCTTAACAATAAATAAGACTGCTATAGACTTTTAGGTAGTTTAAAGAAAGTTGGAACGACAATAGTTGATACCTCCTCCTGGTACATATATACTTATACTTCTTTGTTTTTTTTTTTTAAGTTTTAGACACATTTCTTCAATAAAAATTCTAGGATGTGAAATAAGTTATTTTTTACGAAATCAATGAGGGGAATGAGTGGTGGAAAAATAAATAAAGACTCGACATTTTAAAAAATGTGGACTATTTTTCTTCATGTTTATTAATTTTATTATTTTTTTTATAAAAGTGTAGCTCATTATTTAACAAAAGCCTTATAAATTCATATTTCAAACTTTGTGCAAATAGTATAAAAATTTGCCAAAATTCCATCTAAATTTTCAAGTTTTTAATAAGCTTTAATGTTTTCGAGTATGCAGTCTTATAGCCTATTAAATTCTTGTACATATAATAAAGAGCAAGTTTGAAGTTGCTAAAAAATCGCGTTGATTTTTGATATTTTATTTTTTGCTGACTGTATTACGCATTTTTTTTCCAAAATTGTTGAACATACTTTGTATGGAAAAAAAATTAAAAATACTATGCTTTTATAGAAAATTATCGTAAAAAAAATTATCACGCAAAATATGGCGAATATTGTAAAAATTAATTGTATGCTATTTACGACAGCGCCACTTTATATATATATCTAGTTATGTATGTAAGTGTTATGCAATTCTATTCAATTTATGACACGTACTAATGTTAAGTACCGCGTCAGCAAAAGTGGGCGTAAATAGTCGTTAATTCCATAAAATGGCTTCAGCAATGTGCAATGCTGTTAAAAGGAAAATACTTATAATACTGTCTTCTGTATATTAGCCAATTGACTAAGCGGCAATTTCATTAGAAAGCTCTAACCTGCATTGACTCTTAAACTAAAAGCAAGAAGTGGTTGTAGGTTCTTTGGCTGCTTGTACAATGATCCAATTTCCTTCGAATATTGAAGTATACTTAGTCAAATAACCTCAGATTGGTGGGCGTCTTTAGTAAGTCCTTTGATTGCACAATTTTTCACCCGTGTGTTACTTTAGTTATTGCCCTACGTTACCCATTACCTAGATACATACCCATGTACATATGTATGTATATATTTATATACATGTATATACACATTTTCGACTACTAACAAATTCACTCTTTTCTGCTTAACTAAAATAAAAGCAAGGATACACTTTCTTTCTCTGCTTTCACTCCAGCAGCAAATCAAGAATATACAGCTGCGGTCAATAAGATAACAGAATTCAAAATGATGTTATTTGCAACTTATATTTATTAATTTTTAACAACTTTCAAAAATATAGTTCGATGCAAGGTGTATTAAACAAGGTGGTGTTGGGGCGACAGCTGAGTTTTTCGCCGTGGAGGCCATTACGTCAAAATGAAGTGTTTGTTGTAACTCATACCAATGACAGTATGGACATCAGCGTATAATTTGTTAGTGTAATTTTTTACTTATATACGGCCAACACCACCTTGTTAAATACGCCTTGGTTCGATGTATAACAGAAACCTCTTAAAAAAAAAATTCAAAGGTTGCACAAAGTTAACAAAAATTAATTAAAGTAAAAAAAATCATCGAAATTTCACACTTTTCTTTCAGAATTTTTAGCCCAAAAGTTACCGTTGATTTTTGAGATTTGTTTTGTCGAGGGTGTTGAGCATTTTTCTCCATATAAAATTAGATATTGCTCATGCGTTATATGGAAGAAAATGCGTAACATCCTCGACAAAAAAATTCTAAAATATCGACGGTAGTTTTGAGCTATTTTGAACTTGCACTTTATTGTACTAAAATCGAAAGAGCTAAAAGGTGCATACTCGAAAATTTTCTAAAAACTCGGAATAAAAATTTGAAATTTTAATGCGGTTTTTTAAATTTACCTTTGAAACTTTACATGAAAATTATTAAAAATAAATAAATAAACATAAGTTCAAACAATATCATTTTGAATTTTGCTATCTTATTGACCGCAACTGTATATACATATGTATGTACTCAGTGTTAGAGCAAGTTAACGGAAAACTGCCACGAAAATGTTAAGAATATGGCAAAAATAAATTGAAAAGTTTTGCCCGCGCCGCAATTTACTTATTGCTGTTTGTTTGTTACTTAAAGCTGCGTACAAAAACAAATGTTTGCGGCATCTCAAACTTATGCTATTTAAGTTTTTACTGGCATAAGCGCAAAGCGTTTAAATTAAGTGCCTTTCAAAAGTCTTACACGTGGTTGTACTGGCTGTGTTATATCGCCTCAAAGTAGGCAAATATAATCTTCAAACAATGATATTAGAATTATATATATTTTTAAACATTCAAGTATTTTATAATACATGCTTACCTACATGCTTACATATATTATACATATTAAATCACGAAGTTAGTTTTCTAATGTCTTTAACTTTTCTTTTGTTTCAGGTTTTCCAAGCAATATGAGCTTCCGCTTCTTGTTCAAAGCGTTGTGATGAACATTACCATGTTTCTTATGATACATTTATGCGTTAAAGTGAAACGTATGAATGCGTCAAATAGAGAGCACACATTTTCGGGTGAGTAAAGGCTAGTCCTTTGTGCCAAATCCATTCAATTGGAGCCCTTATAATATCAATTTTTGTGTTACAATATCAATGTTTCTTTTCAGCTGATGATCTACGTCTACCAAAAGTAACGATCGACACGGATACTGCTGGTTCAGTGTCCACAGATGTTGGCGCTTTGAAACGTGCACGCTCCAGGCACTATTTAAACGGTAAGGGCAAGACCTCAAAGCTGTTAAAGCTGTGCTACAAAAAAGAATGAAATAGGAATACCTGGGAAGTTGGTCTAGCAAGAATCGAAGTATGAAATTTGCCAAGCAACCACAAAATCTTGGCTTATCGTTAAAAGCCGGTTTTCAGTACTTTTGCGCACTTACATATAAGCCTATAACTTAGTTGATTATCCACCAGTTTCTTACCGGTTATGGAAAGTAGAAACTTAGACCTTTTCAGTGCTGTATATAACAATTTAGAAAACTTAAGAAATCTTGTTACACTTTTTTTTATTTATTTTTTTCAAAACTGTTTGCTGTATATACTTCTTCATATATTTAAGAACTACTAGTATGGCCCTTTATAAAGTAGTTGAAAAAACACGAGAAAATTTAACAAAACTTGTGTTTGCTGTGCACAACACACAGATCTCTTAAGTTTTCTAATTTGTTATGAATGTATATCAATCAAAAGGTCTAGGTTTCTGGTTTTTTAAACGAGTAGGAACCGAAACTCGGCTGAATATCAATTAAATTACAGACTTATAAGTGCGGAAAACCGGGTTTTTAATAGTAAGTCAATATTTTTGGGGTGTTTGGCAAATTTCATATTTCGATTCTTGCTTTACTTGACAAGACCTACCAGAAAATTAGCATAACTCCCCAGATTTTTTGGATTGTCGCACAGTGTAATTAAAAAAAAAAAACTGTAGATATTAATCGAAAATTCGTAGTATTAACGATTTATGAAGTAGGTTGTGCCTATCTCAAACCTAAACTTTGATCGAATGTTTGCGATGAACAAAACCGAATTTATATTGTTAATACATAAATAATGACTGTTTCGCAAACCGGGCTAGGTGCGAGTTTATTTATTTTCCTTGGAGGCTTAATAAATTAGCGAAAATATTTAGAAACTCTCCTATTCTCGCACAAATTACCCAAAATTCGACACAAGTTAGGTTAGTCAATAAGTCCTATAAGCTTAGACTGAGTACCTATAACGCCAAAATGGAGCTATGTAAGAACTCCCGAAAAAACGTGGAGGGCTGTCATGAATCAACGCGATTCAGTCGCATGAACTGGACAGACGTTGGGCGTAGGGTAATCGCTTCAGCTTCTTTTCGCTGCCAACAAAACCTGAACCGTGTAAATCTACCGCTATTGGAGCAGTGAAATACCCTGTTTCTTCAGGAGTCGGAAAAGAAATCATCCCAGAATTTCCTTTTTACCTCCCCTGCCTTCGCAACAATAAAGGCTCATGCTTATAAAACATTCTTGGTTTATACTTATGGTGACCATTCGTACCGATTTTGGCGGGACAGTACTGATTTTTAGAAGATTGTCCCGCTGAAAATTTTTCTTAAAAGTCGGCACGTATAAGTGTCCCGATTTTTATATTTGTTCCGATTAAATCACGATTTTTAGGATTTGCTTTATTAATTTGATTTAAGAGTTTCCCTATACTCTGGCCCAAAAAAAACCATTTTTCTGACAAGCTTGGCAGCATTTTTGCTATCGCAAGGAATATAGAATATAAGGGAGACATAAACGTATCCAACATTATTATTTTCTATGATATTTGGTTATGTTTTATTCTATCAAACTGATACTCTCGTTATATTGCAGTCTATCATTCTTGCTTCATTTTATAGATAGATAGATATAGTCAAATGTATCAGAAAGAAAAAAAGAAATCGATTAAGCGGTCCGTCCGTCTGGCCGTCTGTGCACACGATAACTCGAGTAAAAATTGAGATATCTTAACGAAACTTGGTATGCATACTTGTTTTCAGCGTAGGACGTATGGTATTGAAAATGCGCAAAATCGGACAATAACCACGCCTACCTCCCATATAACGGAAGTTTAAACGAAAAATGATAATATTAAACATTTTTGGAAAATGGGCGTAGCCACGCCTACTTATGATTACATGTGTATATCTTGGTAATCGCTCCACCTATTTCTCCCAAACTTGGCACAGTTATTGGCCGTGGTACAACATACCAAACGACTGAAAATGTTTAAAATCGGGCAATAACCACGCCCACATACTATAAAACGGTAATTTAGAGAAATACGAAATCTTCGATAAATCAGTAAATACTAAAGCTCATGGTGAAATAATAACAAGATGTTGTCAGTAGCGACGTGTTTGTTGTAATTTTGACAAGATCGGTATGCTTATTTTCAGTACTGCCGATCTTGATTTTTATACTACTATTCGTTGGGAAATAGTATCTAAAATGTTCCATTTTAATAATTCGTTTTATCGCGATTTTTAAAGAACTTGGTGTTTTCAGAACGATATAATTATTTAAAATTGATGGATTTGTATACTTTTTGTCCTCAAAATGTAAAAAAATAAAAGATATCGTGGTTATCAATGTAAAAAGACGTACACAAAAATCGTATGGAAAGGCGATTTTTTTATTAAATAACTTTTGCGGCATTGTCATAATATTGAGCCAAATGGACTACTGATACACTAGAATAGAGTGGCTGCATGGTTAAATTAGGAATTCGCTTATATTATCGATATATATGTGTTTTAATCTATTTAAAAAATCATTTACAGTCTTATAGGAAATTGCCTTATTTTACCGGCTTTACTTTTTTAAAGTTACAATAAATGTCCAAGCTGTGTAGAACTGCCGATACAAACATATATTCAGGCTTATAAGCCTGTAATTATACATTTTTCTACATTTAATTTGAAATAGTATGCACCAACGGATTAAAAGTAGTAAATAATTAATACCTTTTCTACTACTTTAAAATGCGTGACCGGAATAGACCTGCCGAAAAAGTGAGGTTAATTTACTGACAACACCTTGTTATTATTCCGCCATGACTAAAGCTAACTTATTCAAAATTGGTGCTTGCAATAATTCTTCATCATCATTTACTTGTTTCTCTTGTGTTTTGTTTTATATAAAACTGTATTGAAAGATGTTATGTATTTTTGTTCTAAACACCAAATTGTATGTTCGGATTCGATGCTTTAGAAATGTCCCGATTTTTGTCCATATAAATCTGGTCACCGTAGTTATACTTCACGTACGGCAGAGATATCTTCCCAACAACGATTACTTTTGCTTTTATTTACCACTCACACTACTCTTGCGAATGCATTTTAAAGTATAAATCAAAAATCAACAGACTTCTATGTGTCTACATAAGTATATTATGTGGCGTGTTGGGTGGGCATTCACCCACGTGGTGACAAGAACTGGTAACATTTTTTGGTAATAAAATTTTCCGGTTACAAAATCTTCGGTAACGTTCAGAATAGACCTGTTAAGTAAAACTAACTTACCATCATTTATACAGAAAATATTCAGCGAGAATTGATTTGTAATGATGCATAAATTTTTGGTGTTTGTCTAAAGTATTTTGCCAAAGAATCGTGAAAATGTGGGTGTTCACACCTGCCTGGTCATCTGGTTATTTGATTCTTTTCTACTGTCTTAAAAACAATCAAATGCACTAGATAATTGTAATTTTAACCAGATAACCTGATAACCAGCCAGGTGTAAATATGCTTGATTCCGTATCCAGTCCAAACTCACTATTTTTCCCCCTAGATTTTGCCACATTTTACTTGAAAGCGATCCCGTACTCGCTTTGAGCACATTTTGGTTTTTTTGATAGTTTTACTAGATTTAGTCCGAGAAGTACGTGATCAAGCTTA